TTATTGCACTGCAGTCTGTTCCTCAATCATCGGGCGCTAGGCCCTTAACCTGTAGACTTAGGCCTATATACAATATCCCTTGTATCCCTTGGAAAAAGGCGCGGTACAAGTTCCTGTATTATTGTTATTATTACAATATAAATTTGTTAAAACAATAAACTATGTGTATATATACATTGTATAAATCTGTAGGCTATAATTACTAATAAATTTAAGTTTTAGTTTTATGTTCCTCATAACGTAGGACTATATTAGTGTCATTATTTTATAAAACAGCGTATTATTTTTCTGGTTATTACCATGTCTATCTTTTCTAAATTTTGTCTACTTTGTCTTGTATTCTAGGGTTGTCTCTTTTACTTTGAAAAAAAAATAGCTTACTAAACACAGGCCTGTATCCTATCTATAGGCTTATTTTAAATAAACATGTACAGTTATTAAACGGCTAACACTCGAGAAGCGAATTTGATCCATCTTTCAACACATGCCTTTTTTTTTTAGGAGAAAAAAACCAACGAATAATGCTGCTTACATTGTATACCGTAGTTATTACTTAGGAAGACATTACATTTATAAAGGTCTATTATTTTCGTCGGTCATACTTTATCAATAAGGTGTCTGATAAAAATATATTTTAAACATTTAATGTGGACAAATTGCCAGTTTTTACAATAATTCAATTTTGCAAGTATAGACCTTCACAAACAAAAACAACAATATTGTATGACACTGATTGATAACATATTAATTATGATAAGGCCAAATGAAATAAAGAGTATAAAAATATATGAGAGTTAATAAGGTTGAAGCAGCCGACATGCCCAAAGGCAGATTGCTAAAAGGAGAGAGTGATTACATTTCCCTAAATCTAGTTAGGACTCTCTTTACATTACCGTCGGAAATAATAGTACCGTGTTCGAGCGTTTAGGCCTGTAACTTAGTCAATGTTTATAATCCTGTAATAGTCCTGATGAATTAATTTTCTAATGCGCTTTTTATGTCACCACGGCTTATGTAGTGTACGCCAGTTATTAGAAAGGACAGTTTTCAATTATTGGAATATAGGCCTAGTTCTCGTAGCCTTAATGACAATATTCATTTCCTTCGTAAGGAAACTAGAATTTGGGATAAGGAGCGAGTGTGTGGATATAATTAAGTCAATCAGGCGAAATACCTCGGAAAAACTTTGTAGGCTTTCTTATTTATTTAGCAAAAACTATTCCAAATTTATTGTGTTTAACCAGTAGGGATTTATTGTTCGTGGATCGAACGAGATAGTGTTTTTATTTCACTTGTGGTTTTGTAATTATTAGAGGAAATAACAAGTATTTTAAACGCAAAAGTCATTGATACTATATAAAACGACCTGACAAGTTTTAAATACAATGCGAAAATACACAAGGCCGTAGCCTGGAGCAAGGGGGCTAAACAACAAAATCCAACATGTTTAGGTAACCTAGAGTTAACCGACCTAAGTTCCTCAGAAAACGACTCTGGGTGTTGACAATGCTCCCTGAGCAAGAGCTAAGCCTCCTGGGCCTAAGGATTGCTTACCTATTTTTTGCTGCTGCTGCTCGATCTCGCTGCCTCCTGTTCTTGAACCAGTTTCCTACTTGCGTCGGCGTGAGTCCAGTTGCATGTGCTAATTCTCTCTTTTTTGTAGGGTTTGGGTAAGGGTCTTGTAGGTACCATTCTCTGAGTAAACTTCGCGTTCGCTCCTTGAAGCAGTGCGTTTTCTGCTCCCCGTCCCAGATGGTGCGAGGGAGCGGGAACTTCTTTCGCACTCGGTATTTGTCAACCGGTCCTAATGGTCTACCCCTGAGTTTTTCTGCTTCTTGATAATGCGCTTCTAACCACATTGCTTGTAATTTTGCGTGCGATTCTTTCGTGAATCTGTGATTCTCTAAAATATGATAAAGTTCTCTGAAGTTGCCCTGATGAAAGGACACGACGGCCCTGGCTCGTAGGACACTTTCATGTTTACTTAGCGCTTCGCATGTACTTGGCGCAACCGGTAAGGACCACAAAAATCGTGCAAGTCTCTCTATGTCCCCACTTTCTTCCAATGTCTCACAAACACTGGCTATCTGGCTCGGCGAGAAGCTCAGTGTAGGAAAGGCAGGCATAGGGAACATCATCGGGGCTGCGGTCGTGAGGTAGTTACTTAAGCTCACGGGCTGAGTAAGTGGCGCAGGCAGGTTATCGTGGTAAAGTCTCATTCCGAAATCCTCATTCCCTCTTAACACCGGGGTGTGGCTGATCTAGTGAAGAAGTGTCAGTTTTTATCAGGTAGGCCTATGACACAACCCATATTATCGCTCCGATCATTCACTGCATTAGTTGCCTAAATGGGCTTCGATTGGCTTAGAGGTAATTTGTTATATCGTTTCCTTGGCAACCACGTCAATCAACGTCACTTCTGCCAATCAGGCGATTAATGAACAAAAGACCGAGTGCATGGGTTGGCAGACTAACAGGTCCAATTACGATGAATAGTGTAGAATAAAAAAGCGCCTCTGTTGTCGTTTAAGGAGAGAAAAAAGAGATACTATAAATATAGTTCCGAGGCTTTTCACTTTCAGTCGATGGTCTTTAACGAATTCTAAAAACCTAAAACGATCTTACTTTCTCAAGTTGGTGTAATTAACAGCATTGGTCGATAATAAGCCTCCGTAACAAATATAAGCCATTTTCTCTCTCAATATTAACTTAAAACAATGTGATAAAAGTGAATACGGTCAAGTAATTATTAAGAAGCATCAAACTATGATAGGAGCTTCGTGGTATGATGAATGATACGTCAGCGCTCGTTAATACATAAGTCTGCATGAGGAAAAGTGCCATAGTGGACACGAGTTGGCATTTTATCGAGCGCAATCACTTATTTTAAAAATATTATGCCAAAATGGTCTAGCTAGGCTTCAACGGCTAGGCTAACGGCTACTTATTTGCTGTTCATCTTCAATAATAAGGATAATAATAATAATAATAATAATAATAATAATAATAATAATAATAATAATAATAATAACAGTAATAATAATACTACTATCAATAATAATAATAGTAGCCTAATAATAATTTTATTACTAACAATAATAATAGTAGTAATAATGATAATAAATGATAATAATACATAAATCATGGTTCAATAAATAGATAATTTACTAATGGCCTATACAGCATCTTGTGGTAATGCTATACGGTAATTAAACGTTATATTGGCACGCCTATATTTTATGAGAATATATAATTAATTATACAATTAGTGATTTGTTTTCGGTTAACGTTTGTCATAAAATATAGAAATAAAAAAATACGTTTGTTTTTGTTAATATTTTTTACACAAAGTCTTAAATATTGTTAAAGCATGAAAGTTTAAAAATATTATGGTATGGTCCTTTTTTTAGAGAGAGAAATCTTTTTTTTTTCTGCTGTAAATACTATTGTGGTATTATTGTAAATAACAAAAAGAGAAAAAAAAATATATAGTGCTGTTTCGCCACACATGTACAAAATAGTAAATCAGTTGCCTCCACAATTTTATTATTAAATTTTTTTTTCGGCCGAATATTGGCCTAGTCAATATAATATATGTTTAGGCCCATGATACCGTTGGCGTTATAATTTGACATATATCATTCAGAGGCCTACTGCTACTAATTTGTGAATATTTATCAATATGCCTATGTTAAGTAATTTTTTGGCTTATAAGTCAGATATTTCTGACCGAAAAAGAAGAAATTATAAGAAAACAAATATGTTTAAAGATGTATTGTCCCCTGCAAAATGACAAAAAAAAAAATACATAAAAAAGAATTTTGAAATTGACTTTTTCATTTTGCAGATACCATACAAATTATTAACTTGAGCATAGAAATTATTGAATCTAAAAAAATAAAAATGTGTAGGCCTACCATGATTTTTATACTGGATAATGATTATAAACATAATAAAACACTTCCAATGACAGACAAGTAAACATTTTTTTAAATATACTAATTTCTATATTAAAGTTGATAATCTTTATGTTAATTCGAAACGAGCAAGTTAATTTCAAAAATCATTTTTATGATTTTTTGCTATTTTTCATGGGACAATACATCTTTAAATTAAAAAAAAATCAAAATCGTGAATAAGTAATCGTTCCTAAGGATAAGGTCAAAATAATCGGGCCTATTTTTCTAAAATAATGGATTTCTATGCATTCTATTATAACGATACAGATCGTTACATCGTTGTAAACGTCAGTTTATTGCGTTTATAATCAGCCCCTAAGCATACAAATTAATCCGAGAGATAATAACACGCGATAGATAACATACACAGGAAATGCGTAATAGTAAATCATTTTAACAATAGACGTCTTTTATCACTTATTATGTTGAATCGTTAGGTGCACTTTACATCACTCTGAATCGGAAAAGGGGGACCAGATTACCCGCATTATTTTCCCATCACTGATATATATCTATTTCTTTAACGAACATTTCCATGGCGAATGGTGTACTCATTATAGTGCGAATCTGAGTGAAAGCAATAGCTTGGGTATGTATACAAATATAGGCCTATCACATGCCTATACAGGAAGTCGACTATCGAAATATTATTATAGGCTATTAGGTATTTTTCAATTCTTCGTTCGTCTCACATTTGCAGCAAACTTTGCACTTCAATGAGAAAGAAAAATATAAACTCCTAATATTCGACGGATCACTTCAAGCTATATAAATGAAAAACGCAAAATTGGCATTTGTTTATTATTGTCATTGTACTATTGTATTATATTTTATCAATTTTTTTATGTTGAATATAATTATTCGTATTTAGTTCTATCACGGTTCACTAAAATTATTTAATAGTGAGTGCATGTGTACAAATAAGGATTAGGATATGCAAGTCAGCGATTGTAGACACGCCCAATATTCCCCTACAAGTGTGTGTTATTAAAATTACCGAAAATGCAGAGGGATTCAAATTTGACTAAAAGAGGGGAGGTGTGCACTGAAGTACCGGTATAGCACAGAGGCCTAAATCATAAACACTAAGTGTTTTTGTCATTCCGCTTCACTTAAAAAAATTTAAAAAAAACATTACCGTGATATAGATGTATTTTTGGCCTAGACTTATTTTACAAGAAACGAAACTGTGAATTAATAATAAACAGTGCATTTTATTTAGCGGACATAATGTCATTAAAACAATCCTAATTATATTTTTTATTCAGCTAATAATAGTCAATTCACAACGTATTACTATATTTTACTTATTTATATTGAAATTGACGTAACCATTGTGGTTTCTAGAACCATATTTGTTTTCTCTTTTTATTTTTGGTATTGTATAATTTACGTAACGATATTTTCATAATATTGATTTCTTGTTTCAAATATTTTCATTAATAAAAAATATACCAATAAAGCATATCAGTCGATGATTATTTTTAAATTACTGTGTCAACTCCAAAATTTACGTTGACCCACGCCAATATCAAAGGATGATGGCCGCATGGTGGCGGTGTGCAAAATACACTTGTTAATGGACAATCTGATCATGGAGGATGATGATCGTGCGGATTCCTGTACAGTATAGCAATAATATCATTCCTAATGTCTGAGTTGAAGCCTAAAAAAAAGACACCCCCTGAATTATTCATTTGAACGGATCAAATACCGTATTTATTCGAATAAACTCCCTGCTTTGAATAAACGCTTCCTGTAGCACCTCATTTGGAAAAACTGCCCTCGAATAAAAGCCGCGAGGGGTTTATTTTTCCTCGAATATACTCCCCAGGGGTGGCACCAGCAAGGATGGGGAAGGGCCCCATCAGGGAGGGCTTCCCCCACCCCCGTCGTGGAGAAAAAAAAGTTATATGAATTTTCTACATTGAAAGCCTAAATTGGCAAAAATTTTCCGAGGTTTCGCCCCCCTGGAGCGCTTCTAAACATTTTAAGCGACGCTCGATCACGCCCAGTTTGCTCTCGTCTGGGAAATATTTCCCCTTGTCGGGGGCATCGGCACCCCTGTCGGGGACCTTGGATCCCACGTCAGGCACCCCTGATACGCCCCCCTAAATGATTGTAAACATATTTAATGCAAGCCGTATCATTCTCAACACATTCTAATAATTTTCTACTCAAGTAGAATGACACTTTTTATAGCCTAGGTGGAATCAATAAGTCTTCATGATCACGCAATAATACATTTTGAAGATAATTATGTATTTTAGTTCCATATTTACAGTGAAATTAAGGGTCGTTTAATGAGCATATACGTATCCATTTTACACCCCAAAAAATGAACGGCTCCATCGAATAAACGCCTCCCTCGAATAAACGCCCCTCAACAATTAACGCACTCGGCGTTTATTCGAATAAATATGGTATGTCATTAACTTTCAATAAGTAGGATTTTTCTTTTAGCAACGTTTATGTAGAGTAAATGAAGGGAAGAAATATACGTGCCTCTTTATTTATTAAATAATCTACAATACAGATAAAGTCAATGTTACGTTCAAGGGAGTAAGGCTGGATAAATTAAGAAATAATAGTAACAGCATTCATTTAATGTGAAAATCAAAGCCAATCACTTATTTTAATTATCGTACATTAAGTTCAAATTTATATAACAGTGTTAATTATTACGATTATAAGTGCGTTCGGTTTAAAAAAAATCCTAAAATGGAACAAGTTCCGACTCTATCATGGGGTGATTCTCAAGTTGAATTCATGAGGTACACACGGATACAATTTATTATTAAACAATAATTTAAAAAATAAAATCGGTTTTTTTTTTCTTTTAAGCAATTATTAAACTGATTATTTATTTAGTACAATACAAATAATAATAAACCTCTTAAGTATTAAAAGCTCCAGTGTATGGATCCTGATACAATAGTTAGATCGAGTTACAATCACGGGTTGTGCATCCATGGTTAGACACTATTCCAACGACAGCTGGTGAAAGTTGTTTCAGAAAAGAATAACCGAGTGGAACCAGAAAGAAACGGTTTCAGAACAAGAGTTCTCGTCAACCATAACTTAGGACAATAATGTTGCGTAAGGTAGACAGGGTTCTCTTGCAGCGGTAATCTTAAAACAGCTAATTGCGGAGTGTGTATGATTCGATTTTAATTGAAAATTGAATCTTTTGCGTTAGTGATTTGATCGACATTTATGAAATCCAATCCGACGCCAGTGTATGGAAAGTGTGAGATTTCATGTAATCGCGATGACTAATTAACAGTTTAAACTGAAATTATTTTCATTTATCATAACTTATATATCCTTAACTAACTAGTCGTGGTATCTCGAGCAACAAAGATAATAATG